AATAACTAAAAGTACTTGCCTCCAAGGAGCAAGAAAATAGTTTGGGCAGAGAAAATGGGGGCAACTATTTTTGTAATAAGCTTATGGGAAATATTTGCCTATTAAGACTGTACGATTATAACTATAACAGGAATTAAAATTAAAGATAAAAAAAGTATGAAGAATGCTTCCTGGAGCTACCCATGTGTTACTAACAGTGTCCAGTCACACTGTAGAATGAAGGAGTTTTCTAGAAATGTGCCTCAGTACTGGAGCTAAGTCATCTTGAAATAGAAGACAAGTGGAATATGGCACTAGAAAAGAAGAGAGATGGCCATTTATCCTAGTTCCGGGGGTAATTGTATTAACAATTGACAAAATTGATATACTTTAATATACAGGTTAGAAAACATGGTATAATAAATTCAAGTATTAAACATTAAAATCTACATAAAATTGCTATGACACTCACTTGCTGCCCTTGTACGGGCACAAATGCTTTCTCCAAAACAAGTTCTCAGAGACCCAGCACCATACTACACACATCTTTGAAATTTCCTACAACAAAATATCTCAGTAAATATTCTTCAATAAATGTTGAAAGAATTTCCAGTAAAAAGAATGGGGTTAAAAGAAAAACTATCTAATAAATTTAAATTGCATCAAACTTATTTTTACAGAAATCTCTCTATTGGGTTGTGGGTTTTCCTTGAGCTTTCATATCTATCTTTGTAGTTTTAGATATAAAATTTAAATTAAGCAATCATTAAATTAGCCCAAATTCTTATTTCCAACCTCTTTGCATATCCACTTAAAATGGTCTATCTGCCTTTCACTATTCATGTATTAGTGCCAACTGCCTTTCCCTTTCCAACTATAAATCATACCATTTGTGGAATTCCTTCTTAGAGAGCTAGGAATTAGCTGTAACAAAAAGAATCAGTAGACATGGAAGAGAAACTATGATCTTCAACTGAAACAGAATACTGTGCCCATAAACTAAAATTTGGGTAGAAAAAATACATTAAACTGTTCTTAATAAAGTAAGACTTCTGTTTCTAGCAACTGTATAAATTCCTCGATGCAATAGTGGCCATCTTAGACTTCCTGTACAAATATCCCAATACATCACATGTTAAAATAAATATCCATTTGTTCAAAAATTATTTTAGAATACAGTATAGGTATACCTATAGGTATAGGTATGCTTAAAATACCTCTTGCATTTTCTACACAAATTCTATGTCCAGATTTTTCTCTTAATTCTCTTATAACATAAATACAAATTTTATTTTGAAGAGTTTAACAACTTCTTACTTGTTAAACACAGTTTAATAATAATATAAGAGTGCAGTGGTTTGTCATGAAGCTTTAAAATTTTTTAAAATCTTGAGTGCATTCTGACAGTTCTTTTTTCCCCTTAAAAGTGAGGCAATGAATTTGATATCTTGCTTGGCAACCTGTTGGAACTGTCCTTAACCTGAACATAAAAGCAAGTTTGGCCTTCAGTTAAGATTTTTCTTTACATGACATTAGCAGTGAAATACCCTACTGGCATATGCCAGAAGGGACAGAAAAAACACCCCCTCCCCCCCCTTTGACTTCAATATTCACTGAGCTGCTTTGTTCTCTGTATCCTGCATAATTAATAACTACTTTGGCAATCAGTCATGCATTCCTTAATGGCACCTCAGGCATCAAGTGTCCTGCACTCTCCCCACAGAAACGATACACCCTCCTAGAGCACACACTGGCTGGGCACTGACTTAACTCTGGACAAGTCATTTACAAATCACTATGAAGGAAATACAGAGTAGAGATTACAAAGTGATTACAAAACTTGCGCACTAGACTCTAATCTTTGGATAGAATTTTACTAACAAAAATCAAAAGTATGTGCCATTTGAGCAAGTGTGATTGACTACACATGTTAAAAAAGAAAATGTAAAATTATAAAAAAAGAACAAATTCTGAAGGAACATAAAAGGAGACAAGTTTCACTGGTGTGTTGGGAGTTAAAGAAGTCCTCATTGCAGTCATGGGCCTGCATCACCCCTTTGCAAGTGATGAATAAAAGTAAAAATACACAGCTGACACAATGCCTGTGGCACCTTTGTTTCCTGATCAAGAGATTAATTCATTAAATTGAAAATTAGAGTAAATAAATTGCTGAAAGTATTTTATTATACCCTTTCACCAGAAACTTTAGACTATATATTTTTTAAATAAATTAATCGAGAAAATTTTCAAAAAGTAGTGGTACTTTAATATTCCTCAAAACACTAACCAGAGCTGAGGGAAAAAAGAAAATCCTCATATCTCATACCATTAAAATATATGTGTGCGTGTGTATATTACAAAATAATATACTCAAAAAAGAATCATTTATGTGTAAAGAATGAAAGGGTTATACATGTATTTCAAAATAATATCGCTTTTCAAAGTAATTATCTGACAAAAATATGAAATTTTTTTCACTAAGTCTGATTTTTTTAAAAAATCAAACTTTTAATACTTTTGATACTAGAAAAAAACTTATTTTTGGCCTTTTTAGGTTATTTAACATTTTTAAATAATGGTGCTTATGCTGAGTAAAACATACATAATCTATTATAAATTATTCCAAAATTAAACAAGAAATTTTCTTTTCTAAGAGATCTTCATGAAATGTGTGCTGGCTCTCAATGTGTGTGGCCTCCAAATAGAAACAAGCTTGCACTGTTTTATTTCAGTTTTGCTTCATTTCTTCCCAAACAATCTCTCACTGCTAATCTACCAGACCTTTATTTTTTTCTTTTTCAGCAAGAAGGGGGAAAAAAAAAATCAAAGACATTATTAACTCCTTATGTACATTCATAAAAGCTGAAATATATCACTTGGCATCAATTTACATGAACTTACTTCTTTATAGTTTACTAATTGGGTATTACTGGGAAGTATATAGTATATATATATATATATTTCATAAATAATTAGCAAAATTAGCATTAACATGCAAAAGTTTTTTTTTTAATTATGTAGCAAATCTATGCTGCTTTTTTGTTTTTGTTTTTGTTTTTTTTTTAACTAGAAACAATTAACTAGAAACAATTAGTGTCAGGTAAATATCTTGTGCTAATTTTTTTTTCTAGGTAAAACTTGGCCTGACAAATAACTTAAAATGGTAAAATGGAAAAGTCAATTTCTGTTATGCCTTATTTTAAGATGCCTGGGTCTAAAGTAAAGGATTGTGAAATCATAACATTACAAAGGAAAATACGCACACACACACACCCACACGTTATCTACATTCTAAGACTATTTTCCTTGTGTGGCTAGACATAAAATATCCACTGTGTTAATTATTAAAATCGAGTGTGATTATACCCAATGATAATTACAATGTCCTGAGAATGGACTAAATGTTTTAACTATCTCGGATGTTCTTTTCCCTCCTCCCACAAAACCAAAACCCAGCTCAATTCTTTACGTAGAGTATGAATGTTTTCTTGGTAATATCACCTTATGGGATAACAGGACTGAGATTCAACCTTGTTATATTTTTCTTCAGTTTTCTAGTCTACAAATTATCACGACTGCACAGCAGCAAGACAGATAACACAAAGCAAATGAGCAGTTGGTGCAGCCAGAGGACTTTGGACAACTTGAAGGATATGGCTGAATTTCTTTGAAATTAAAATAAGCAACTAGCAAGGTTGTGCAAGGTATTTACACAAACTTCAATAAGGGGAGTTATGGTCTCCTATGAACTTGTAGGTAACATTCTTAGCATGACAAAGTTAAAAAGAAACATGGAGGTCAGTGGTCCCAAATGCAGTGGTGGGTTTGCAATGAGTGAGGCCATTGGCTCTAGGGACCTGGGTATGCTCATAACGAAGTTCATCCCTAGCAAAAAAGAAAAAGCATCAGGGTAGACCCAGGACCTCTGAGGGAACCTGTCTCTGAGCAAATGCCACAAGAACTCTCAAATCTGCACTCCAAACGACAAAATTTCTTTCCTAAGGTTTACATTCATATATACAGATAAGACTGATGGATTGTTACCCACTCAGGAAGGGTTGTATATGAGTGTGGGGTGGGATGAGGGCCTGGAAAGAGGAATGTCACTTAGAAATATACAGCAATGATTTTACACACTCTATGCCATCACTCATTAAGTGTCAAATTTTCAGGCATAAAATCTCACCCTTTTGTGGGCAGTGATAGAAAATAGAATGAGAATTGCTATTGAGAAAGAAGATGGATTATGGACCAGGAGAAAGGGTTGCAGAAAAAATGGCACAGAAATGTCGAAGTAAATTTAAACCACCAAGGAATCAAAGTTTGTGAGCAGGTAACAAGCATGATCGATAAGCACTCCAGAGAGCAATCTGGCATGATTAAATCACCCAGTAGCAGTTTAATGTGGAGAAAAGAAGCAAAACATCACATAAAAGCATGGATAATTAAGATCATACAGACAAGATTTTTTTAAAAAGGTATTAGTGGCAAATACTGTTGGTTTTCTATCTCTGCAAGGTATTTATTTCAATATGTATATGTATGAATTTGAAAATAAGATAAGCCAGAGTGCTGTTCAAGCTTAAATATTCAGATCTTTAAAGTAACATTCAGTAAAATGTTACTTAAAAAAAAAAAGAGAGAGCGAGAGAGAACATATAAAAAGGATCATCAAAATGCTAGGAAACTAACATTTTATTACTAAACAAGAGTTGAAATGAATTCAGGAGGACATGATAGAGTTCAAATTTTGATCCTGAATCCTAAACAATAAGAATAATAATACATGTGGTTGGCTAATTTTTCTCTAAGGGAAAGTGCTGTATAATTGTACAAAACAAATTTTATTTTATTACATTAATAAGAATTATCAACATGGCTAGTGATCTATTGATCTAATTACAAGATGCAAGTACTTGTAAGAACTATAGTGATATTTGTGAAAAAACCATCAAAGCAGGAGAAAGAGGGAACTTTCCCACTGACGCATGGCAATAAGGGAATTGCTACATGATACTTACTGGCACAACAATGTTGTAGTGAATGCAGAACCCGGGTTCAGAAGGGAAATATTCATCAGACACAAATCGTATCCGGATTTGATTTCCTTTAGAAATCTGCTTTCCTGGCACAGAACCAGAGCCACACCATCGCCCTAATACAGTTCCATCACTGGGTTCCTCAATTTCTACAAAATCATACCTGGAAAGACACAAAGAGAAAAGAGACCAAATTAATGATCACCTGTGATACTGGTGATTCAAATTCCATGTTCAATATCGTGGTTTCCGTAAGGGGCTGGGGAAGAGGGTAGGAGGGAAGAATTTAGGGCATCAGTCAGATACTGGCTAGTGCTCTGCTGGTGGCTGAGCTGAGGAGTATGCACAACAGAGGTGAAGATGCAAGCCCGAATGTATATAGTATGGTAAATGAAAATCTCTCTAAGTGAAAAAAATAGGAAGCAACAAAATATCCCGTGCCAAGGGGTGCAATGATATGGACCACTGTTTGACACCAAATTTGACTGGGTCAATATAATGAGACATTCCAAGGATGAGACACAACTAGAAATACATTCCCAGGGAAAGAAATGAGTCTTCCAAAGTCTCCCATTGCACTGCTTATAAATTTGTTAAATATTCACCTGAAAATTTAAATATTTCGCATGGAGCAATCGTAACTGAGACTGAATTAAGGCATTATTACTTAATTTCCCAATGGACATGACAGATTTACCCCCGTTTTCACTTCTAGTGTAACAGCCCGTTAGTTTCAGATAGGTTCTGTGTTCCTTTCCTTCTCGATGTAAACTTCTCAAGAGCCACTCTCTAAACACATCTCTCCATCTCACTCTGTAGTGCCCTTGTGAGACCTTTCTGGGTATTCTTTTTGATAAACATGTGATTTCAGTAGATAACTATATACATCCAAATCACCATCTTAGTAGGCTGTTCATTTCCTGAAGAAAGGAATCAGTTCTTCAATGCTTCTGTTTTATACTGCTCTGCACACAGAATCTTAAGAGCAAGGGTTAAATGATTTTAACCCTTTTAAAAGTTGCTTTCAAAAATGTTTACTCTGGTAATATTGCATTATAACAGTATATAATCTTCAGGTGTGCCTTGCTAATCAACATCTTTATGTACTTCATTAAGTTTACTATTAACAGTTCAAATCTATCCTTCCTCCTACAGTCAACCGATGAGGAACCTTTAATAAATGCTAACTGTAACTTTGGTTTTAGGTTTGGTTCAGTGATACTTTATTATTGACATCAGTAATACACCTTACAAGGATATTGAAATTCATCATCTTAAAGAGGATGTCACAAAGCTTGTTACAAAGGAAATATGACATGGTTGAGAGCCACTGGTATATTTTAAAAGAAATTTAAAGGTTGATGTAAACTCAGCGATAGCAGGCAACTAAAAATAACAGTACATTCTGTGCAGTACTGAGTTTACAGTAGTGACAAACTGTTGAAACAGGTCAAAATAAATAATAAACGGAGCCTTCACTGGTGGCACAAGGGGTTGAAATGCAGCACTGTGAAGCTGTCCGAGGTCACTTGCAGCACGAGTTCTATTCCAGCCCCAGAGGTGACCCACAGGGCACAGCAGACCTCTCCTGTCCCACCTGCTGCACCACTCAGTAGTGTATTTTAGTAACTCTGTCTGTTCTGCTCCCCACTCTGTCTATGGTGAATCCTCTCACTCCTAGCACCTCTGGCCTGTACCCTAGTTCTTGTATGCATAAATAAATAAATTTTTAAAAATAAAATAAATCAATTCAACGTACACAACTTCATTCTAAAGAAGTACCCAGAACTCTTAGTGCAGGTATTTTACCTCTGTCAGTCTCATTCCCCTCACCCTTACATTGAGCAAAATGCCACCCAACTCACCCAACTTGGTGCTGTGCTTGGGAACTAAGCAAAACCGGGAAGGTGCGGGTGCCATGCC